CAAAAAAAAAAATTTGTTTCCAACTCCAACCGTGACATGGCATCTGGCACGATAACCATTGTCCTGGGGTGGGCCGTTTCTTGCGTGAGAGTGGGCCCAAATCTAAAGCAGAAGAGTCCAAAGCTGTCGTACGACGAAACATGATCCTTTCGTTAATGGGCCCGGTGCATGGACTTTGTGATACAGCCCCACAAGTTCCAGACATCACATCATATCTCTATAGTCTATATCTTGATTAATTAATTGCAAAACATACATACATTCACCATCAGAGACAGACAGAGTATTACAAATGGGATAACAATGGTGAGAAAAATCCAAAATTGTCCACAGTAAGTTTTGAGGGGTAGCGTAGAGTAATAATGCGAGAGAAGAAGAAAAGACAGAAGAAATGTACGTGGGAGGGGGGAGAGAGAGAGAGAGATAAGGTTAGGAAATACGATGACATGGTTGGCTAAGCAAGCATGTCCCATCTATCTAATTTAATACATCCTTTTTATAGGCTAGCAAAGCAAGCAAAGCAATGTATAATGGCAACGCAATTGTCTTTGATTTGCCCCACCTCAACTCAAACTCGAGCAGTTATCCGTTCCCTACCCACTCCTCCGAATCCCTCGTTGTACAACCAAAAAGGCTACATGAACAAAATGACAAATGTGATCAAAAGAAAATAGTAACCAATTAATGCCCACCTGGGTTCTGTCTATACCATGGCATGAATCAAAGCACCTTTTTTCCTTACTGTTGATGGAGATGTTTCTTTTGGTAAGCTTAAAGGTAGTAGAAGAAGGAGGCAAATGGAAGAGAAAAGAAGTCATAAAATACAGTTTGTTTGAGCCTTAGCTCAAAATGGAGCTGTTGAGCTTCTGAACAGGGTAAGGGTATGCCTTTTTGTTGTTGGAAGCTGATCAAGGGTGGGGGCTGCCAACAAGAACTGCAGTCCATGCACACACACACGCACGCGAACCAATCAGCCTATCAAGTCCTTAAATTAAATTCCTAACCCAAATAAGGAAAAACATAAATATACTCAACTGACCTTTGCCTGCTGTGTTTTGAGCCTAGCATTCTCCTTCTGTAAATGGGCAAGTTCAAGTTCCAACTCAGTTGTATAAGCCTGCATCAAATTTCCAAACAACATATTATATTATATATTCACGCATGAACCAAAAACAAAAACAAAAGAAATATGCAAATGAATAAAAGAAAATGAAAGAGTAGTAAAAACCAAAAGATCATTTGTATATAGAGAGAGAAATAGAGAGGTTAGAAAGGTTCCTGCTTTCGGGCTCTGGAGCGAGCAGCTGACTCTCTATTCTTGATCATGCGCTTATGCCGGCGGTCTCTGGAATTATGATCATTACTTTGATGATGATGATGATGATCTATGGGCCTTTTCCTTTTGTTGTAGTACGAAGGCACATGAAAGAGTGAAGAGGAATCCAAAGCATCGGAGCAGCTGGAAGAGTTGAGAAAATGAAAGGAAGGCGTAGCGGCATGAATAGTTTGCAAAAGTTGTGGGTTAACTGGGTGCTTCAATAGAGGAGCAGGAGCGGTACTAATAGTGCTTTCAGGAAGGAGTTGAATATCGGAATTCATGCTGAGAACAGTGGTTGGTGCTGCAATTGTTGGTTGAGGTGGTGGTCGGCCCTTGTCTTTGTTGGAAGAAGCACAAGTAGTGAAGAAATCTTGAAAAATCATGCCACGAAAAGCAGCAGCAGCAGCCGGAGGGCAGTGATCGTTGTGGTCATTAGCATGAGAAAGAGAAGCAAGGCTTATGTCTTTCCACACATCTTCCATGGACTTTATGCTTGTTGGGGATGTTGTGGTTGTAGGGATCATCTTCGTATAAGTTATGGGGAGATGGATGAAGCTCAGAAATTAATGCGAGCAGATGCTCATCTCATGTAATGTAGAGGAGAGGAGGAAGGGTCGACTCTGTTTCAGCATCATCAGCTGTCTGTCTTTCAAAATTATTAATTGGCTTTTTATCACAAAACATCCTGACGTGTCTGTGTTGTCCTTTTGTACCCTGTTTCCCTCCCTATTTATTATCTCTCTCTTTTTGAAACTCACACAATATTAACTGCCATTTATAGATTCTCTCTGCGAAACATCTCTTGATTGTCAGAACAAAATTTCTCTACAAGCTCTTCATCTTGTTGTTGCTCTAATTTCTTATATATATATATATGTCTAGAAACCTGTAACCATAACCAGGATCGGGGAAATACCAAAAATCTGGAAATCTGGAAATTTAACTTTTAGTGATGAAAAATCTCAAGAACACCGTCGCAGAAAATGCCCAGCAACAGCCTACGTATATAATACAAAAACAAAAACATCAATACTTAGTAAAGAATATGGATGAGTTAAGAAGGTAATTAATATAAAGAAGGTGGATCTCTTAATTACAACAGCTTCCTTGATTCTTTATGGGGGGACAGCTGTTGTTTTTCTCAGAAATTTGAAGATTTTTCGTCACCAAAAGTTTTTAGCGACAGATGTTCATCAGATTTTTCGTAGCTAAACATTTTCTGCGACGGTGTTCTTGAGATTTTTCATCACTAAAAGTTAAATTTCCAGATTTCCAGATTTTTGGTATTTCCCCGATCCTGGTTATGGTTACAGGTTTCTAGACATATATATATATATAAGAAATTAGAGCAACAACAAGATGAAGAGCTTGTAGAGAAATTTTGTTCTGACAATCAAGAGATGTTTCGCAGAGAGAATCTATAAATGGCAGTTAATATTGTGTGAGTTTCAAAAAGAGAGAGATAATAAATAGGGAGGGAAACAGGGTACAAAAGGACAACACAGACAGAGTCCACGCTTGAGAAGAGTCTCAAGTCAAAAAATAAATAGCCCAACGAACCTCCAGAGAAATTGATGATGGTTAATGTATTATATATATATATATAATTTTGGATTGATTTTACGATTATATCCCTGAATTTAACAGTTTTTTTAACAGAAGGACTATTTAAGAGCACTCATATTAACGTTAGGGACCATGAGTGATACAAAAAAACTTTAAGGATGCAATCTGATAGTTTTGCAAACGTCGGGGACGTTTTGTGATAAAAAGCCTTATTAATTAGTCTCTTCTTTGTTGTTCGTTTCACCCACGATGAGTCATCACATAACTAATTAGCTTTGGAAAATGCTAAGCTCATCACATTGTGTACCATCTCTCTAATATGGATGGGCTCTGTTGTGTTGGTGGGCTCTATCTCTACATTGTATACCACCTCTCTAATAGAGATGAGCCCCATTGTATTAATGGGCTCATGGAACCCATCTCTATTGGAGATGTGATATAAAAATACGGTAAGCTTAGCATTGCCCATTAACTTTTGAGTGCTGCTATTTAGACACACAATATTGACCACTTTAGCTGATCACTTTATGTGGCAATTGATGTGTCATGCCAACTCAATTAATGAATGTCGCCATGTCAATTAAAAAACCTTAGCGTTTCTAGTAAGTGGACTCATGGCAACATTCATTAATTAACATGGCATGACACATCAATTGCCACATAAGGTGGTCAGCTAAGGTGGTCAATATTGTGTGTATAAATAGCATTACTCTTAACTTTTAGGCTATAACTAATTAATTAAGAGAGAGAGAGAGAGTGAGATATGAGAGAGAGACAGACAAACTAAAGCATTACACAATCACGTGCCTGCCGCAATTCAATTCGATTAACAACCCACTCTGTTTAATTTCCTTCCCCCCGGGATGAAGGCTTGTAATTGGTCAATTCTATTTCCCTTTTTCTAATATTATATTAGAAAGAATGTATAAGAGCACTTTCAAAGATAAGGAATAGTGATTGCTCTATCCTTTTTTATTTTGTTTTTCCACCCACTATCTTGGTGAATAGTGATTGCTCTATCCTTTTTTATTTTGTTCTTCCACCCATTATCTTGGCAACCCACCATCTGCCCGATTGCTGCACTGGAAATGATTTTTGAAGCCTAGAGGGTCTTTTTCCTGAGCTAGACTGCTGGGTAGAAATGCCCTAATATATGTACATAAACATACGGATGGAGCACTGCTATAATATGACTCAAGCACAAGCACAATTTGAGACTTGAGAACTTTCTTATAATTAAGCAAATTGTTTAACTTGGATACAGTTTCTGTAAATCTTCCACTCAAATTAAATGCCAGGTATTTTTAACTGAACAATATCGCTACTTTTCATTTATGAAAGTAACATCCTTACAACAAAATAACTTTGAAGATCCACTATAAAACCGAGATAAATAATTTCATCAAACACCTTAGTCTTTCTATTATCTTTTGGTAACATTTAAATACAAAATCATGTTTTTTTTTTTGGGGGTGAAATGGGGGAACGAATCTTGTTATTGAATTTATGATACCTATAATAAATGTTTCATGCAGTATGCATAGATTAAAAGAAAACAACTATTGAATGCGGGATTGGGCTTGCATCTCTTACCGACAAGATCATGATTCATGTTCATTGCCAACATGCTTAAATCTATTGCAGTTTGAACTTCAAATCAAACTGACAAAAGAACACCCATCAATGCAATCAAAACAAAAATATATAAGAGCATACAAGCATATAAAATCTACCTCTGTGACAAGATATAAAACATAAACACGCAACAAGATGAGGAAAGGTTAAGATTAGAGTACAAAATTGCAAAAATTCAAGCCATGGTCTGACCATCCCTGGGTGGCAAACAAACATAGGGCGCACTGCACCTACTGTAGAGTGACAGACAAACAAAAAGAATTGCTAACATTCCCTCAGCTATGAAGATAACATCTCAAATTAAGCTCTTCTTTTGATCAACCACAAAATAGACGCCCAAACATCCACACCAAATCCAAACTATACAAACCAATGACCTCCAAATTCTGCCTCCTCATCTTCCTCCCTTTCTTTGCACTTCAACGATAATTTATAATTATTTTTTATTTGTTTCCTGTACTAGCCTCAAAAACATGCCAAAACTAGGCAAAGTGACAGAAAATAAAGAAAAGAATTTGCATGCCTTCAACACAGCTACCTTCCTCCCCTCATTACTTTAGCATACCCTCCAAAATTAGCAGTGCACTCTTTATACTGGATTTTGCTTGAATTCTTTGGTGGTACAGATGGATCTACTTCAACTTCAATGGTTGGTTTGGGTAACATCCCCATTGGGAAGTTGTGACAAGCCAGCTGACTCAGTTGAACAGCTCTCTGGAATAGACACACAGTTTGATTCTAGCTTACCTGTCGTGTTAGTTTGGCTGGGAGCCTCTTCCTCCACTGTCATCTTCTCAAAAGAAGTTGCAAGCGTTTTATGACTTAATACACCAGGCGATGATGAGCCTGACTCAAAGGGAAGCTGACTACCAGCAGGTATCCATTTCATCCATTCATTAAGCCTCCTCACCTTGTCATCCTGCAATCATTACAACAACAATGTCAGATCAGGTGCACCAAAAGCAGCCAATTGCAGCACAGTAGCTAGATTTTTCATGACAGTACCATTGCCTATTTGAAGTCATTTCATTTGAAGTCATTTCATTTGAAGTCATTTCATAATCAACATGATAAAGAGCCAAAAGGTCATCTTTTTTTGGCAACAAATAAGAAGATAACTCATGTCATAATATAATACGTATATCAGAGTTTTTTCAGCAGAACATTTTTCAGAAAATGCATTGTTGGAACTCACATGTACTTCAACAATACTTGAAGCTCTCAAGGAATCCAATATCAATTGGATGCTGGTTGTCAAACTCTTAACCTGCAACCATAAAGCATCAAGCAATATGTGAGGAAGAATGATACTTGAAAGTGATAAAGACAATTTTTTAAAGAAACAAAAGTTGACAAGAGTCCATCCAACCATGTAAGGAAAGCATAATCTTACTAGAGATACTTATGCTCATGGGTTTCAAACTCAAGTTCACACCAACTCAATTTTTTTCCTATGTTATCCTTTGTTTCTGCACATATTCCTCCTTTCTTCCTTTTCTTTATTTTTATTATAAAAAAAAAATTCATTTAGAAAGATCAATCACCATGTTCTCAGCTTGCATGATTATCTCTGTTCAATATATATCATTTCCTATCATATATCAAATCTTCATGATAACAAAATATTGTATTATTTATTCGCATACTACTTAAGCCTTTAAGTTCTTTATAAGTCAATAACCCAAAAAGAAAAGTTATAATGGGCAAGGATTAAACCAGAGAATCATCTTAACATAAAAGTTCACAAAAGGGAAGTCAATGAATAGAAAATTGGAGAAGTGGCTGCAGAATCACAAATATGTAGGAAAATTTGAAGGTTGATATTTAGAGGAGTGTAAAACAATTTAGTTTATTTTAAATTAGAGCGTAAAATTAAAGGTAGAAATGAACACTTTGCCACAATCAAAGTCTATCACAGTCAGAAACAAATCAATGATTAACCCAACAACGTTCAATTTTCATCAGTAAATAACAGAACCTATACACTCCAAAGCAATCACAACCAATCACTCACTTCCCATTCATCCATACATCAATAAAAATTCCACACATTTATATATGTACATACATATAAATATCCTCCAATAAATTCCATATTTGAGGTCATGTTTCTCAAAGCATCTAACCCACTATGCATCCTAATCATCCATATCTGTCTAAGAGAGAACTATGGGTGCTGCGCAACTTGTTTAAAGTATTTGCATGCTGCCTAATGTGGTGAAACTATTACATTGAAATTGTGGGAAGCACAAACTGAAGGTGTTACAAATGATTAATCATTATTGTTGAGCGCCTAAGGCAATCTTACAACTTTCTTAGACTGAAATGTTTTTTTGAAAAGAATTTAGATGTTTCACCATGTTATAGGGCAAAGGTGATAATATAAGTCCCAAACGAGAGAAAAATGTGCTTAATCAACCATAAATAACATACCCGAGGAAAGTTTGCTATTAAAGAAATGGGAACCCAGCCCTGAGCATCCATGTTTGACCTCAAAAAGTCATCTTTTATCAGATTAGCATCACTACAATGAACAAAGAAAAAACCATGGCAGTTAATTTTCAAGATACTAAGAAACTGTTTCATACAGCTAAATAATTGTCAATCAACAAGAAATGTACCTGAAATAATAATCTATTTGGTTGACTATTAAAGAAGGCAGAGGAGATTCTGCAACAGGAATAAACATTGCAGGATGTGGTGCTTGAGAAATGAATGGCATGCCTCTCATGGGCTCCAAAGGCAATGTAGGGATATAAACAAACTCTGAAAAGAAAAGAGACATTAGTTTTACTTCCACATAACTAAAAAAACAAAAACCTCTTTTAATGTAGTATTACCACCAGGAAAACCCATGGGGTTTGCAAATGGCCTTGCAGTCTGGGGAGGAAATGCAGCAGTGTTTGGTGGTGCAGACCTTACAAGGCCCCTTGGAGGAGCTCTATGCTGATGCATGTGGGCATCCCTGGCATTCATATAATTTCCACGATCTTGGTCACGCTTGATTCCGTGATTGTTGTGGTAGGAACCATCTCCACGGGGGTGGGGGCCAAAATTTCCCCTACGGGAATTATTGCGATGATCATTTACTTGGTGTGATTGAGGTACAAACCCACCAACTGGTCTAACATCCCAACTGTTTCCCCGAAAAGAAGGGTCTCTTGAAGAAGGATCAGGCATCGTTGGTACCAGATTACCATAACCATTTGGAAGTATAGGGAAAACAGGGAATGGTGGCGGTGGTGGCGGTGGTGGCGGTGTGGGAGGGTGTCCAAAACCACTGTGTGCGTGCCCACCACCAGTGCTGCCACCGCCACCCCGCTTTGATAGTCTTTGTCGAGCTGGAAATGCATTATTCGATGTGGAGTTAGGGCTTGCATTATTTGTAGAATGTCTTTTGGAGTTGGGTGAATGTGTTATAACAGGTGCCTATCAACAAAACACAAGATCAATCACGCCATCAGTACTTAGAATTAACTCCCACTCCACGAAAAATGTTATAGCTTATAATCTGTTTGGTTGCAGATACGGTAGAGTAAAGTAGCTTTTTGAATCTGAGTTATTTCATTGTTTAACACCCTGACGAACCTAAACAACCCTCAAGCTCAACTAGGCAAGTCATCCATTAATTGTTACCAAATTATGTAACATGATTCTCGCTGTCTTTACCTTCCTTAATTTTCCTCTGCAACCAAACACACATCCATACACAGACAAAGGGAAAAAAGGGAAAAAAAGTGAAGTGCTTGGGAACAAACCTGAGAAACCGAGACTGATCCATGGGTGACAGTTGCATCGGAGACAGTCTTTGAAGAGGAATCAGCCGGTAATTTAGGTGAAGCCCTAGTGGACTCAGATAAAGCAGGCCAAGAAACAGCACCCATTACAGTTGTAGGACTAACCTCAACGACGTCGTTAGCGGGCTTGTTCCAAGCCGGCTTCTTTGGCCTAGCCGCATTGCCGTTGTTCCCATTGGAACCCTCAGCAGCTGAGGAACCATCCGCCGCAGGCAGAGGCAATGGCGGCGGCGAAGAACGAGCAGCTTTGGAGGATACGGAGCAATCGGAAAAAGGGGTTTGCTCCGGTGCCGAGGTTCCCAGCGAGGACAACGATGAAGAGGACGATGGCGGCGATTGATGAACAGCCTCTGGTTCAGCCCCTCGGACCACCTTAGCCCAGGGAGATGGTAAACTACTTTTCCTATTGACGCCGTCGAGGTGGTGATTGGCAGCCGAATCGGCAGCCATAGCCATGACCAAATTAGGGTTTCGACGAGTTCAGAAAACAAAACGCTGATCAATATATGAACACAAATATAAATTAATCAGTTTACAATTATTTAATTAATTTATTAGACAAAAATAATAATGTAATAGATGATTGGCAAACACTGAAAGAGAAGAGAAGATTAAGAATTGTGTTTGATTTTCTAGAAATTATAAATTTTAGAATGCGGGATTTTGATAAACTGAAGACGGATCTTGCACGTGAAAAAGCACAAGCAACCGTCAACTCTCTAAACCAACGGGTGCGACTCTCCCGGCCTCCCCTCTCTCTGCTTTTGTTCTGAGCACTGGGAAATAAACTACAGCCTATAAGCTACAGCTAACAGGTTTTTCTTATGAAAACTCATGTAATTACTAAAAACCCCATATCCTACCAGTATACTAATTTCAAGTGTTTTAGGTATTTGCTATTCATAATTACCGTTTTGTCCCCGGTTTAGGCTAACATATTAATAAAGATGATTACGATGACAAATGAGTTTTATCTCCCCAAATCAACCTTGTAACAAAATATAAATATAAATCGTGTATTATAATAAGTGGAAGGTATTTTTATTGGTTGTCAATAGTTGTAATAGACATGAATTGTAAAACTGGATGATGTTTTATAATTCGTGGTTATAGTAACTTCCTCTTCTTATTAGCATATTAGTAGTTAATTTTAGTTTTAGAGACATAGGGGGATAAAAGTCTTGAATTAAATTAAGAGCCCATTTAATCATAGACATTGACCCATTTAAGCCATTTGGGCATTTTCACATTTCTTACTGTGAACCTTTCCATTAACATTTTGGCCCATAAAAATATGGGCCTTGGCATACTAAACGGATGGCAGAGCCGCTCACTGTGACGAGTTTTGGACCAGATCTTATTGGACACCGGCTGCTTTCGTAATTTTGTTTTTTGTTTCATTTTTCCATGTCCAATTCCAAACATGAGCTGCACCTGCATGTAAAATAAATTCATGTACAGTGAAATCCAACAACTATGTGGTTCATGCCATGATTCTCAGAAATAATATTCGTTATAACTGATGACGCCGAAAATGTAGCTTTGCTGATGACTATTGTCACCATCCATATAATAATATTCATCGTCCCAGTGGGAGGGTGGGACTAAATAGTTTAGTCAAGTCAAATAGGAAATTGTGTATGAATCACCTGTACTAGGTCCCAACAAAAATAAAATGGTGATTGTTTATGTGTTTTTTTTAAGATAATTGTTGTTTGAATTTCAAAATGGTCGTATATGTACTCATTTCTATTTAAATTTATTTTATGTAAAAGGAGTGCATATTGTTATTAGAACACCATAAGATTATATAGCAGAGAAAATGAAAACATTCAAAACCCAACGTGAAAGCCAAAAACAAGAGCGTGATCTTCAAAAAATTTACGTTTGAAACAATTACGATCAAACAAAAATACTGCCCATTAACAAACTATTAGTTAATGTGGCGATGCATGTCATGTGAAACTTACTAATAAACTACTAGTTGAGTGATATCATTTTTTTCAATGTTGAAATAGCAATAGGTGTGAAAGTGAAGTATATTTCCCCATTAACAAAGAATGGAAATGAAAAAAAAAAGGTGTTCAACTCTCCACCCAGACTAGTCAAAGTAACGCTTATGATAACAATAGGTGGATTTCATCGGTTATATTCTGAAAAGTTGTTAAAGGTAGGTGGTGGTGGTGGGTGAGAACCTTTCTGGGTAATTTAAGGATGTTGAAGGATATTTGAGAAACTTATGGGTGGTGGCGTGGGTCGTCTCTTCCTTGTCATTCCGTCAAAATGTTGTTTTTAATAAGGAAAAAGTCAGGAAATTCACGAGAAGAGTGAGATGACTCTGACTCTGACTCTGACTCTGAGAAGAGGGCATCTCTCGAGATGCCTACACTGAATTTACAACAAACTCAATAATTACAGCAAATTAATATGCATTTATTATTATTATATAATTAATATAAGTGTGTTTTTTGTTTTTCTCAACTGATCAATAATGTTATATTATATAATGAGTTGAGTGAAGTGAGTTTGTTGTGGTGTGCTGTGCATTGCATTTTGCATATATCCCATCCCAAGTTGTGAAACTGCGTGTCTTGTCTGAGCGTCTCTCATGGCTCAAACGACTCCAAATCATACACAGACTGTTTCTGGGTGGGCAGCTCACGATTCCTCCGGCAAGATCACCCCTTTCATCTTCAAACGAAGGTACCTATTAATATTATAAGCTTTTTGGTTTTAATTTCCCGATCGAAAATGATACAAGTCCGATATTCGTTGTCTTTTTAATCCTGGCCGGATAAACTCTAACTGTATATATATGCTCTCAGAGAAAATGGGATCAACGATGTGACCATAGAGATCTTGTACTGTGGAATATGCCACACAGATCTCCACCATGTTAGGAATGACTGGGGAATTACCATGTATCCAGTAGTCCCCGGGTACGTAATCTCTCTCTCTCTCTCTCTCTCTTTTCGTGACTTCGTCTGTCTCAGCCGAGAGAGATTCACCGGTTGTATGCTATGCTAGGCATGAGATTACAGGGGTGATTACGAAAGTTGGAAGCAACGTGAAGGAATTCGAGGTAGGAGATAGAGTGGGGGTGGGATGCTTGGCAGCGACATGTTTGGAGTGTGACTTCTGTAAAGACTCCCAAGAGAACTACTGCGATCAGGTCCAGTTCACCTACAATGGCATCTTCTGGGATGGTAGTATTACCTACGGTGGTTACTCCAAAATGCTAGTCGCAGATCATAGGTACGTCCAAATCTAATCTACCCTTAATGCCACCCCATCTAATTGTAATTAATTAAGGGAGGAGACCAAAGTTAAGTACCATAATTATTATTTTAATTGTCTATACTCTTTATATGTCCTCAAACCTACAAGTCCTACAACTACTATGTCCATATCTTTAAGCCTTGCATTCATATCTGCCTCACAAATTAGGTGGTGGAATTAATTAACTCACTCCTTTTTTATTTACTTACACTCTCTTTGTTAGAAATTGTATGTTCTCACTCATCTTTTGTTCACTTACATTTCTTTTTTTGTTATAGTAAAAGCTATTAAAATTTCTTTTTTTGTTATAGTAAAAGCTATTAAAAGACCACTTCCTTCCTTGGTTGGTCCTCCTTTCCTTCCACTCCAGTACTTGTGTGGCTGAGAATCTTTTGGTTTTGTCTTGTGGGGTTGCTTTCCTTGCCGCACAGATCACTGAGAAATTATAGCCCCAGTTAGTAATAGTAAGGCATTGGGAATTGAGCATAGCACAATTAAGAGCTCACTTTTAGTGATTTTAAATGATTTTGAAGAGAAGTATCTCCCATAAAATCACGTAAAGTGATTTTTCATAAAAATGATTATTAGCATCTCAAGAATCACTTTCAAACGAGCCATAACTTCTTAGAATGAAATATCTCGTGTGATTATTAGTTTAAGCTACGATCAGTTTGAATCTATATCTATATATATAAAGCAAAAGACAAAAAATGGTAAAACATTCAAAATACTAGAAAATGCCTTTAGTTAATGCAAATATTAAGAATTGAAATTATTAATTAAATGAGGATAATTTGGTAAATTCACTTTTTTCATGTTAAAAAAATTAAAATTAAAAAAAAATCAGATCATAGATCCTATTTTTATAGAATATAACCAATCATTATCTTTTTTAATTCTAAAATAAATTAAATTTTTTTAAAAAGCTTCTCGTAATTTCGAAAACTTATACAAAAAGGCTAGTTAATATATTATATATTGTGGTTAAGTTAAGAATAATGTGAGATGCCAATGGATTGGATGAAGGTACGTGGTGATGAAGGTACGTGGTGCACATCCCAGCGAACCTGCCATTGGATGCAACAGCACCGCTATTGTGCGCTGGGGTGACTGTGTTCAGCCCGATGAAAGACCACAATCTACACCAAGCACCAGGGAAGAAGATAGGGGTCGTCGGTCTGGGAGGTCTTGGACACGTGGCAGTCAAATTCGGGAAAGCCTTTGGTCATCATGTAACCGTCATCAGCACTTCTCCGTCCAAAGAGAAGGAGGCTAAAGAGCGTTTGGGTGCTGACGACTTCCTAGTCAGCACTGATGCTCAACAACTTAAGGTTTATATTTATATTTAATTTGTTTTTTTCTTATTCGTCTTGTTTTCTTTTACTGCCGGTGTAAATGAAATTAAGTTGATGCTGCTGATGATGATGACAGAAAGGCATGAGGACACTTGACTTCATATTAAATACGGTGTCAGCTAAGCACTCTCTTGGGCCCCTCTTAGAATTGCTCAAAGTGAATGGAACTATGGTGGTTGTCGGTGCACCAGACCAGCCCTTTGAATTGCCTTCCTTCCCGATGATATTTGGTAATTAAAAACACCATCAATCTCATAGACTCTCTTTATTTCTAACCTAAATTAAAAATAAAAAAATAAAATTTAACTGAGAATATAAGTAAGAGTAGCATCATATATTCATTCTCTGAATGGAAAATGGTGGGCATGGAATTAATGACGTGAACAATATTATCAATGGACAGGCAAGAGGGCAGTGAAGGGCAGCGTGATAGGAGGAATGAGAGACACAAAGGAGATGATGGAACTATGCGGGAAGCATAACATAACGTGCGACATTGAGGTTACAACACCAGACAAACTCAACGAGGCCTTGGACCGTGTTGCGAAAAATGACGTTCGGTATCGATTTGTCATTGACATTGCTGCTTCTTCGGGCGCTGCTGAATTACCTTCTAATATTTAGAATGAGAAGAATTAATCATGTCAAAAATTTGTATGCAATATAATGTGATGTCATTGATTGTTTACATTTAGTATTGTTGTTGAACAAGTTATATGTCATGGGAGGAAATTGCAATGGGGGATTTTGAAGGAAGCACTGTGCGATGGAAAGTATGTGACATTTGAATTAATAAATTAATCGGTTTGGTCTTTGTTGTTAATTAAGTTGGAACTAGGTCAAGCTCAAGGTAGTTGTTGGAGAAACTTTCGGACTCACGGTTGTGTTCAGACTTCACACTTGAGCGGTCGTACGTTGAATAAGTCAAATCCAATATCTTATTAGCACATGCGGTTTGTGCGTGGTATTGTTAAGTCTTGAGTGTAGGACCTTCTCTTTGTCTATGTTTCTTTCTTGATTTACATACTCTTAAAAAATAACAAATCACAAACAATTGGGCTTCATATTTTGGACTCCCCTCTTCCTCCTAACGGACCCAACCCTAGATGACGACAAGACTTTAGGACGGCAGGCCTGTAGCATTTTTGCTATAACTAATTGGGCTAAAGACCCCAAATATGAA